AAGATGAATTTGATCAAACTTTGGGAGGGAGTGGAAGACAGGAGGGCCTGGCGTGCTCTGGTCCATGGGGTCATGAAGAGTCGGACACTGAGAAACCTGAGAATGACATACAACTAAGAGCAATTTTTTGTTGTTGGAAAATGAGGTATTAAACAGTCATGAGAGGATGGTTTATTTTAACTCAATTGTGGCTACAATTCATTTTGAAAGGTTTTGGCATATGTGCTCACCTGTGTCAAAGTAAATTGTGTCTATGGTGTTTGTCATTACTTGGATGGGTTTTGGGCTGAAGGAAAACCTTGCAGTCCAATCTGACTATTTTTTCCCTATCTGTAACACTGATCTAGCACTATTCCAGTTTTGGGGGGAAATTTAAAAGTAACACTACAGCAGACCATGGCTTTTGTCCCTGCTACCAATGTCATGTCAACACTGGAAGTGAGTAGCAGCAAGTAGCTGTAGGAGGCAGGCAGCGTGAGGGTGGGTGGGCTAGCACAGGAAAAAACTTCAAAAGCAGTTCCAGGATAATGCACCAGCAGCCAGAGTACAGTATCTCCCTGTAGCTATCATAGCATGGAATTTTATTTTAGTCTTCTGGCTTTCACTGGCAATAACGTATTTTCAATAGGGAAAATTCATGTGGGACCGGATCCGTTGCTGTTAACAGTAAAATGTTTTTAAAAAGAGTTCTTCTCTCTGTACCAAGGTCATTCATTAGCTAGAATAAAACTTCTTCCATAAAATAATGGCTCACAGAACAACCACATTGGTTTTTTACATTGTATAAATTCTTCCTATAGAACGGACAACAAATGCCCGTCACCATCACAAATAAGATCCTAGCTCACCAAAATATTTTGGAATGACTAACAACTCACTGTTCGTCACAAAACCCATAATCTGCTACTCTCCTAACACTCAGAAGCCTTCCAAAGATGCTACTTCACAGAAAAGCCTTCCAGTACAACCTTGCCTGATTTTTATGCCTTGTGAATTGCACCAGATTTGAAATCATGCTTCTTGTGGCATCTGACTCTATCTGTCGCTGGTTCTACGTAGTCTATTCATTGCTATCTTTCATTATTTGCTGTAAACCACCTAGAATAGTGCTTTGCACAAAACTAATATATAAATAAATGAACTTCGTCCAGATGCCTACTCTGCTAGTCCTCTTTGCTCAAGTGGAAGGTACAGGTGGTACAGCTTCCCACTGTAGCCAAGTGAGAGCAGAGTTCAAGAATTTTCATATTGAAAAAGGAGGTGGTAGAACAAAATAGTAGAGCTTTCAAAGCAGGTCTTTGATCAGAACCAAAGTTAGCAGGCTGTTCCTAGACAACTTGGGCTTGTTCTGTGCGAGACATGGAGACATTTGGAATAAATACAAAATTCCAATTCTATTTCTAGCTTGTCTCATTTCGTAGAAGCCAAGAGGATGTATCAGCATCCATCCAGGTGATAACTTGCATTCTGTGGAGCTAAGAAAACATTACAGACTTCCACAAATCACATAGAACCTGAGTGTTGGCACCCACCAAGTAGTTACCTTGTGATCTCCAGTCAGACAGTCTATTTCAACCTCTGTGCAAGCAGCTCCACAAACAAAATATTCAAATGGATGGCCTTCCCCTTTCTCCCAATCCATATTTGCTTCATAACCTCTGAAAGATGCCAAAAATATATTTGTGAAAAATACAGGAAATTGTATCTTTGGAGCTGGCAACAAACATGACTATGGAAACAGAATGTTCAAAAATAATAAGTTGGAGCCTCAATGGTAAAACCTGTCCATAAATTGTCAATAATATGTTAATATGGTAGTAATTTCATGCTGTTTCCCGTGAACTGGTGGAAAAGCACCACATAATAACATTTTAAAAGCAAATCAACACATCTTGTCTGTGTTAAAATTGGTATCTGTGCTTTGTCTGTGTGTTCACAGTTCATCTTCATGTTATGAACTGGACTTTACTTTATTAGGCAATAATACAATTTGAGAGGCTGCAATTCTGTGCAAAAGTTATCAAGAGTAAATATGGGCATATATTTGAGTAACAGTTCTGCTCATAGCTCTATTTTTGTCAGATGTTTTTGTGTTTGGTGTGATAATAATCAAATAACAACAACAATAATAATCTTGGAACCACAGAGCTGGAATCATATGGATCATCTAGTCCAGCCCCTGTCAAGGAGGCACAGTGTGGGAATCAAACTCCCAACCTCTGGCTCTGCAGCCAGAGACCTAAACTAGATACCTATCTATACCTGCTGAGCTATCCAGCAGTGTTTTTAAATATTTTTAAGACTCTTCTAATTCAATGCTTGTGCTTGTTTTAAGATAATTTATTTATTTTTTATACGTTGTATGCTAAGAATGGGATGGGAAGGACAGAGATGGGTGGGGGAAGTTGCTGCCCCACCAATTCTGAATATTTGATTTTTTTGCTGCTGTTGCTTGGGTGTTCTGCCTGTTTTATACTCTTGTATTGGAAGGGAGATAAGAGGGCCGGAGAGCTGTGGGCTCAAGAGGATATATGGTTCATTCTTTCCCAATCACCCTCCTAAGCCCACAGCTTCATCATCACCACCACCACCACTCTCCCATCTCCCTAGAACAATTGCTTCATTGTTTACAGAGACATTTAGAGAAGGGGCCAGGCAAATCATCCCAGGTTAGTTATTCCTCCACTTCCAAACACAAAATTCAAAACAGCATTACCATGGGAGACTAGAAGCTAGCAGTTTTCAGCTGTGTGAATGTTCCATGGACATCCCCATTAAGTGATGGGTGTGATAAGAATTAGTTGCTGTGTCTTATGTAGCCTGTGGTAGAGGAAGGCTGGGAGGGAGCTAGATAGCCTTTTGGTAACACTATATTTTTAAGCAAAGCTTCAGCAGTGTGCTGCTAAAAAGTAAATTTGGAAATAATGAAAGAAATAATTGGATTTGTGAAGAGATCAATTCATTGGATGTGTATTTTGATTGTCTTTCTCTGTGAGCAGAGAGATGAGATCCTGTGCAAGGACAGGTAACATTCTCCAACATGACAGTTTTCATGTTAGTTCATGTAAGAACTACCATTTCTGGCTAATCATTTTATTATGGGGCTTGCAGTCCATCTTGGGGGGTGGGGAAAGCAAGACTAAGGAAAGCAATTCCAAAATTTAAAAAAGGCATTTTTGAAGGCACCAGTAACTAATCCACCATTATGGGTCCATGGTCATGTAGTGAATAGTTAGTTGGACTGTGTTACTTGGCCTGCGGTGTAGATGTTTGTATTTTTAGTGGGGACTTTTAGTGGGTGGGGAGTGTTGGGGGATTTTTTAGTGGGTGGGGAGTGTTTGGGAATTTTATGTGTGTGCATGTGGATCTGGTCTCTGGGTGTCTGTGAATTTCATTGTATGGGTATACTGTGTATATACTTACAAAGACAATAAATAAAATAAAATAAATATAAACTACACATGAATCCCACTGCTTATTGTAAAATGAATAATTTAATTAATGTATTAATACTGCTCATTCAACAAATCAAATATTTCCAGATTCAAAGGTTAAGAGCAATGGATTAATCTCCCAATTTCAAATGTTTAACACACACAAAAAATGCTTCCTCAATGAAATTAGAATTACTATAATGGTGGCCTGTGATCCCATAGCTTTGCTCATGGGAAGCTCCTGCCAGAGGGAGGAAGGAGAGAATTGTCACTGATTTTTTTCCCTTCCCTCTGCAGCCCCCCACTTCAAGCTACCCTGGAAAGTGACTGCTGTGTCTGATGTGATTTGAGAAAGCACGGGACATAATTCAACTTGTAGCCCTAATGCTCCTTCTAAAGATTCTGGTGTCAAAAAATGTTAGGGACAGAATTAGTTGTGGTTCTATTTTTGTTTTTAAATGATGGTAGATTCTGCATAGCTAAATTATGGAAGACAAAAGAAATAGCTTGAGGACTGGTTAGAGAAAGGATGGCTAAAGGCGGAGTAGATAAAAGCAACATACGAAAGAGTCATATCTGCCATAGGGAAATAGGTTTTTAGAATGACAGACATAGTTTATAAATTACCAGAATAACAAGATCAGTGATAAATTGCCTATATAATTTATTGACTGAGTTGTAATTAAAAATGAGTTCCATCTCCCTTCATAGAAAAACAGATAGGCAGGGATTTTTACAAGAACTGCATGATTTGCCAAAATAATGTAATATGACAGATGTAATATGACATGGTTTATAGGAATAATAGAAATTAATATAAAATCTAAACCCATGATGAGACTGTATCATTATTTATATATGATAATGAATTACTGTCTGAGCTTATTTTTGAAGAAAAGTTACTCTGGAAAATTTGGGGACTTTATGGAACAAGCTATAGGAGAGGATGACAGGGTGAAGGAGAGACTGGACAAAATGGCCATTCCCTTCTTTTTCAAGACCAGGAGGCTGTTTTCGATCTCAGTTCCATGAATGGAAAGAACCCATCCATTTAAAGATGAGACAGCCGCAATCCAATCCCATTTTTTCTTACAACATGCAAATATTCCTGCCTTTAGTCCCTTAACATACAGTCTAAGAATTATGCCAATGAATGTTGGTCTCTGTTGCTATCCGTGTCTTCTTTTTGGATCTGCAAGACTAGTCATAATATGGCCTCTGTTCTTCATTTTTAAATTTGGGAAGCATCTATGATCTGATACAAACTTAACAATCTTAACCATGCATGACCCACACCGTCCTCAGTTACCTTATTCTTTGGTGTGAATCAAAAATTCTATCTAGGCATTCATTTCTTAAAGATAATCATGACGAGTACCTGAAATAACCTGTTGCCGATAGATTAATACTCTGATCAAAGGCTTCTTTAGCCTGTAAAAGAAGCAAGTCAAGTAAATTTATTCCTTCAAAAAAATTGTAGAAAAATGCTCTCATTGCCATGCTAAATCTACTTCCAGCATCTGTATACCTCCACAGAAAGCAGAAAAAGGCAAAAGAAAATACTTCTGGTTAGATGTCATTGATACACACATAATCAACATAATCTTATATATGTTTATTTAGAAGCAAGTCTTGCCAAAAGAAAAGGGGGAGGAAATGTTAAAAATTGAAGAGAAGACTATTTTAAAAGAGAAAAACTGTATGAATAAATACTGCACGGTGATTTAGCCATGAGAAGTTGGCCTTAAGCCCCAGTCTCAGCTGTTGCCAAAGCCATTATATTGTTAACACATAAGTCACTGCCAAATTCCCAAGAACGGTAAAATTTGAGTTTAATCTTTTAAAAGGCTGCACACCTGTAAAAGGCATCTCAGGGCAGATGTTTTCCTAACTGAACTGAAGGTTATGATGCGACTGCAAAGCCAAGCAATTTGTTGGGTTCTAGTGTTTCTGAGTAAAAACATTTTTGTGGTTTCTAGTGCTTGAGCTACAGCCAGATCTCACTGTTCTATAAAAAACAAAAAGTACTGTATATATGTGGTTTCTGCCTTCTGATTTTCAGCATCCCATTTCAAGCCATTTACAAATGGTAATGTTTGTGTGCATGGCAGATGGCACAGTGCCTGGCCAAGTAAAGTCGTTTGGGGGGCAGGTCAGGCTGTAGCCTACAGTCCAGTCCAGAGCTTGGTGAAGTTAGGCTTTTGGCATGGAGCCCAAAGAATTCCTCAGTGCCTGTGCTCTCCAAAAATGTAACTTTTCCAAGCTGTATTCCAATGAGGATTGACCATTTCCCTGGCATCTCTTTCTGCAGGATGGAGGAGAGTACCATGAACCTCCTCTTTAAGATCGCATGGGTGTGGCTACAAACGTGAAGGAACGCACCAACTTTGGCACCGTTACTGCCATTCTCAACAGAGAGACACTTGGGCCTCTACCAACCTTTGTGGCAGACAAGCCCAGCACCCGCATTCACATAAAGAATGAAGGCTTTTGAGATCTTTTGTAATAATGACTTTGATGGAAGGAGGACTATGTGCAAGCATGAGCAAAGAAACAATAACACATGATGTGGGATATTTGCCCTATAAAGTTGTTAAGCAACTTAAGGCCAACTGGGACTGAGCACACAACTATGTACGTCATCTTTGCCCCATTTGCTCATTTTTTGGGG